AGCTCTCCCAATTTATCATGAATTTTGCAGTTGGCAGTGCTTTTATTTTTGATGCCTGACCATTGGAGTCCTGCTATTGCAGGAGCCTTTTTCTCTGTCTTTTTAATACAAGCAAGAGTCTAGCTGTCATTTTTGCAGGAGGAGGCTATAAAAGGTGAAATAAGTACAGTGTAAGGGATCTAAAGCCAGAAGGCTGGTCAAAAAATCCACAGTATTTTTTAATTTCGTTATTTTTTAACATTTGGAGTTAGCTGTGGCTGTGAACATTAAGTCCTATAGTGATGAATTGAATGAGCAGTTGGTTCATTCAGAGTACCAGAACAAATCAAGGAGTAGCACATCATCCAGAGTACTCTGCTATAAGGCAAAAATTTGTGTACTGAGTTAAGATAAGTGCTTAGGAGATGATCCAACGTACCACACCAAAGAAACAAACCAGCTGAGCGCCTTCATTTCTCTCCAAGCACTACAATAAATCCATCCTATATCTGCAGTTTCACCTGAAAGCTAAGAGGTGTCCTCAAGTGGGTATCTGATTGCTGTTAAGTTGGAACAAGGTCCACGGAAAACAGCTCACAGGGTATTCTTTTGGAGGAAGGGAAGAAGTCTTTGGTTGGCAGTGCTTTGCATGGACCTGATCCAGATATCAGTGTGGGTGAGTGAGGTATATTTCTGCTATGGAACTGTGCATTTTCCAGTTATCCCTCCTTAACCCTTTTATGAGAAATTTAAACCCATTTAAATTAGGTACAGAAAGGGGAAAAAAAGTTCTGGTGGCATTGCACTTTCTTCGAGCATCTTGCTCATTTTCCAGCGCTCCTCCAGAGCAGGAGGACTCTCTCCCAGTGCTTTGCTTCCAGCCATACAGGGTGCATGAGGCGGAGGGGTCCCCAGGGTGGAAAACAAAGGCAGAAAAATGTTGCTGTTTTCCCACCATTACGCAGACCCACGCTGTCGCGCGGTCTCTTTGGTCAGGGCTATAAACCAGGAGATTTTCCTTCTCTGCTTTCTGTGGCCACGTTGGCTGCTTGCAAAGACCCGTGAGCTGGAAGCTCATCATCTGGCCAGCATCCTCCCAAAGGTATTTTAAGGGTGCTGCGTGGAGCACCACCTCGCAGTGCTTACAGCATTTCATAGCACTCCAGTGGCAGCAATTCAATCTTTATTTGGGTTTTGGCCAACATTTGTTGTCCTCACTGGAAATGGTATTGATTATTTGAGCTCAGGAGCCAATTATGGCTGATATGATACTCACCACCTCATGTCCCAGGATGATGTGTGCCATGGAGGCTGCTTTGCTTCAACTGTACCTGCCAAATGGGCCGGTGAGGCTCTGGACAGACCTCTGACCTTTTAAATCACCTATGGTGTGAATAGGCAGTTTAACTCATGGCCTAAACCTTATTTGACACGTTTGTTGGGTTTGGTTTGAGCAGGGATTGGCATTTGTTTAACATCTCCCTTGGGGGTTGCTGTGTCCCGTGCTGTGTCCCATGCGGCATCTGTCTGACTGCTTCGTGGCACTGCAGATTTCGTGCAGCGGGGAGAATTTCAGATGCGAGAAAACTGCTGTGCCAACAGAGAGTGGTACCATGGGCTATTGGAGCCCACCAGCAACTGGCACCTAGTGTGGCACTGCCAGGCAAACTCATAGGTGAGATGAGTGCTGTGCTTGGGCTATCAGGATGATCACATCTTGCATGGGTTGGTGGGGTTCCATGCCAGCTACCGTGGATGAAGTGACAGCTGGAGCCTGTGAGCCTCCTCTGCTTGCCAGTGATGGTTGTGATGATGGGCAGCAAATGATGGTTACAGAGCCTGTGGGCAGCTGAACTGCTCCTGGGTGCTTGCTCCTGGCAGCAGGTCTGCAAAGTGTTACACAGTAAAACCACAAAAATCTAAAGGCTTCACCTCAGTCCAAATTCAGAGCAAAGACCCTTATTATGATTAACAAAGCCCAAGTCTCTGACCTCTCAGAGGTCCTTCTCAGCAAGAGGCGAGATGTCCTGTCTGATCAGAAGCGGGAGTGACCTGCACTCCTATAAACCTGTTGCAAGAGGATCTTGAGAGTCCAACAGAGAGATTTCCGTGTGATCTCGCAGTGAGAGGACAGGGCATGCTGCAGTGCTGAGGCTGTGGGGTGTCAGGAGCTCTGCTCTCCTGTGGGGGAAGCGGTGGAGATGGCGGGTTTGGTGGATTGGTGCTGAAACATGGGCAGTTCCTCATTTTGCTCTTTATTTATTACCTTATTCTGCTTCACTGAGTCTGCGTTAATGTTACGTCTGGTGTTTTCAGCTCTCCTTGGGTTTAGTGCATTTAACAGCTTCCTGGGCAAAGCACCTTCCCACGTGGCTTATTTGATGCTATTTAGATTAATTTATTGAGCCTCTAGCCTGGGTTTGTTTCATTAAAATTTGGGCTGTACTTTTCCATCTGGCTGCGTAGTAGAAACAGTGTCCAAAATTGGTATTTCAGTCACTTTCTATATATTTTTTGCAAAGTTAATTGAATTATGAGAAGCAGGTTACTTATGCAAATGCAATGGCCCCTGTCACACTTCATAGGGCCTGTTAAACACATAAAACCAAACACGATCAACACTTCCCAGTAATTACAAATGCAATGGGCAAATCAGCCTTCCTGCCCCCTGAGGAAGAGGTTGATGAGGTCTTCTTGGGGCAGCTCCTCCAGCACCGCTGCTGCTGGAGTGAAATGTGATAATGCCTCCGTCCACCGTGATACGCTGCATCTTCCATCACGTCCCTGACCCAAAAAAGTATTTAAACTGGTATTTAATGAATTGCAGCCAGGCCCATATCACCCATACAAAGCAGGAATATCATCTACTCTGTTTATAGAGAGGGAAATGAGTTGTGATGTCTTCTTGCTGCTGGTAACGAGTTGTTAGCGGACTCGGGCACATCTGGGACATGCCCGCTGTGGGTGGGACAGGTGGGTGAGCACGGGACACAGCAGCACGCGGAGCTGCCCGTGCGTCCTGCGCAGCTGGCGCAGCTACTGGGGCAGCCGCACTGCCAGAGGCTTTTGGGGATGAGTTTGCAGAGAGGAAAGGTGTCACTTGACCTTTCAGTGATTTAGTTGCCTGGCTGCGTTAATGGCTTTGGGATGCGGGAAATGGAAGTGTAAATACCGATGACGTGCAGGTGGCCTCGCCTGCGCCTGCCTGCTCCGTGCTGCCAGGGAGCAAATACATGTCCAAAGAAGGAACACATCTTTTTGGTTTTTTCCTTCTTCTTATTTATTTCACAGGCAAGGAACAGAGGTGGGAATAAAGGAAAAAAAGACGTCAGCTGCTTATTAGATCAGCAGCAGTTGTTTTGAGCCTGAGCTTCTCTATGCCAATTGATGTAGCAAGCTTTGTTTTGGGGGTGCTTTTCTGATGCAAAGGGCTGTCTGATCAGAAAATGGTATTTTGCTGCAATAATTTCCTGCAAGCAACTTGCACTGGTCTCTCTGAGGTAACATGCTTTTGATTAATGCATAAACTTACCCACTCTCCCTGGTGCCTAGTTTTCATTCCATGTAAGCTCTGATTATTCAGTAAAAAAGAAACATTGGCCTATGAAGCTAAGCATCAAAATGCAGAACCAGAACCCTCAGTGTCCCCACTGTTTGCAGTGTGTTTGCTCAGGGTTATTTTCATGCCACACACAATTGAGGTTATTGAGGAGAGCAAAACGAACAGTATTTGTTATTCAGTTCATTTTGGGTTTTCAGCACTGTCGTTGTCTCACAGCAGTGGCGCCTGGGGATTCAGGGGTGTGAGGTTATGAATTTATTACATGGTGTCTGGAGCTGTACAGAAACAGCTCCCAAAGGTCTTGCTGAAGGAGAAGGGAAGGATACTGTATGGAGGAGCCAGGAGTGGGTGGACAAGAGTAGGAAACGTGGGTATGGAGACATGAAGTGGCTTGCCTACGGTGCCAGGGCGCTGACTGCAAGAGCAGCAATACTGGGATTTATACTTTTGGGCTGCATCTAACCTCTAAGCAAAGTGTGTAGGTTTCCGCTGGGACCTCTGCTGTGTCTTTGCTGGCTGGATCTGCTTCTGAGGTCAAGTTCCTTATGCCAAGTAGATTTAACTGGGATTATGCATTTGTAAGTCTGGATCTGGATCTGCACTGTTTGTTTCTATAATTTGCCAAACCAAAATCCAAAGTCCAGAGAATCTTAGAGAAGTTTATGCCTTCATTCCAGAGTCCGCATCTGGTTTTACGGGCTGTTAATACATAAAGGTTTCTTTAAAAGAGTTAATAATTTGTATTAAATGGTTTAGCTGCAGATTTTTAACTACTTAACGACAATAGACTAGAAGCAAATGGAATGGAACTGGTGTTATTCTTAAAAAGATTTCCATTATCTTAGTATGTGATCACCTTGTAATCTCTAGTGTATATGTTACACCATCTCTTACAGAGCTGCACGGCTTTTATCTTCTGCTTTAGAGGTGGAGGCAGCAGCCTGCAGATGCACAGGGTACCTGCTCGGCATCTCCGAAGTCTTGGGCTAGTGCCCAGGCTGCTCTGTCAACCTCCATCTCAAGGCCAGGAGAGCAAAATTTGGGTTTAGAGCAGGAAAAAGGAAACAAAAGAGACCAGAAAAGCCCGAGTAAAGTATTTGAAGAAATTGTGTGATAGAAGAAATTTGAGTTAAGTCAAAGACCTCAGGCTGTTTCCACATGGGGAAGTCAGCAGTGCTGGTCACCAGTGTCCAAGTGAATCGCTGAGGCTCATGTAGTTCCCTGTGTTGTCCTTGAAAATCTGTATGAATCGTGCAGTGGAAGTTGATGCAATCATATCTAAAAAGCAGCACAGAATCAACCTGTGAAGCAGCATGGGAAGCCCAGGAGGCTGGCTGGATAAATGGGGTCATCTCATTCCTTGCGGTGAGGTCTGTGCTAACCACATATGGACCAGGTGGTGGACCTGACTCTCTCTGCCTCTAAAACAAACCTGTGTCCTTCCCCTCTGTCTCTTTGCAGAGCTCCCTTCCTCAGAACATTTGAGCGTGGCTGATGCGACATGGCTTGCCCTCAACGTGGTGTCTGGTGGAGGTGGCTTCTCCGGCTCCCAGCCCATTGGAGTGACCAAAATTGCCAAGTCAGTAATAGCACCACTAGCTGACCAAAACATCTCAGTGTTCATGCTCTCCACCTATCAGACGGACTTCATCCTGGTAAGAGGACATGAGAGGACCAGGCAGAGTTACCTACCACAAGATGAAAGTTCATCTGGGCAGTTTTAATGACATTTCTGGGAACAAGTTGTTTGAGGAGCAACACAAATACCAACGTCTGCATTCCCCAGAGCTCTGTGCCTTGTGGTTAGGCTCTCTGACATCGCAGGAGCTTTTCCTATGGGACGAGGCATTTGTTGGTATGGGTTACCTGGTGTCTAATGAAAGCGCAGAACCCACACTGCAGTCTCTCCCTTAATGGAGGCACTGGCAGCATTTCCCACCATCACTCGACATCGGTTTTCTGAGAGTTAGAGGAGCGTAATGTCTGCTGTCAGGCTGGCTGATGATGGCCAAGAGGCTCCAAAGTTGTTCTGGGGATAGACAGACAGACAGTCTTTCTGTCTTACACGCATGTGTGTGCATGCACACAGGGCATGACCACATAAGCTTTATTTCCTTTGGAAGCATGGCTGAAGAACAGGCAGTGCTGAGTTCTTGAAGGGATGCTGGAAAAGAGGTGAAACA